ACAAGCTTTTGAAGCACTGCTCTGTCATCAGATGAAGTGAAGAGAAGCACACAGGCGCAGAATTTACAGGCAGAGAGATCAAAAGTTCGTTCAAACGGTATGAGTGGCGTGTTGACAGGCTGAATAATAAGTCTCTGCAGGTGATCAAAAGTGTCAGACAGTATGAGTAAAGTGTCAACAGCTGAAAAGCAAGTGAAGTGACAACCTATAATTAAATTAAAAGATATTGAAATTAATTGATAAATTGTTATGATCTTTCTACGTTAATTAGTTTGTACAGTTTTGGATTACTTGTTACTTTGGTTAGACCTTCGGCATGCGACCCTTATACCTATCATGTTAGTCCAGCCATTTGGTTTGTCTCTGACACCACCTTAGTTTTAATATTTTGTAATCATCTCTCTGTATCAATTAATCCGATTATAGGTCATCCCTTCACTTGCTGTTCAGCTGTAGACGTTTTACCAAGACCATCTGACACTTTTGATCACCTGCCGAGACTTATTATTTGGCACTTCACTCACACCATTTGTACGATCTTTTGATCTCTCTGCCTATAAATTCTGTGCCTGTGTGCTTCTCTTCACTTCACCTGACGAAGTAGCAGCACTTCAAAAGCTTGTGATTTCAAATAAACCTGTTGGACTATAACCTGGTGTCATGTAACTTCTGACCTTTAGGAAACTTACAGCAAGCTCCACATATTACTCTTGGTCTCTGTTTATTAGCCCCCCCCTCTCTCTCTCTCTCTCTCTGTGTATGTCAGCCATGTTTGTTCAAGTGAAATATAAGTATCAGTGATTGTAGTTTATCCTCCAGCTAGTTTTCAGATCATTTCGAAAAATAAACTCATGAGTACTATTATTGTTCAAAGAACAATACTTTTCACATTTGATTTTTTAAACAAATCTTTAAACAATGATTGTTCTTGAATCTACTCAGCCAAGCCAAGCTTGTCTTCTAATAATGCTTATTATTTTGTTTCGAAAATATTAGCCAAATGGACTTCCTATGGGCAGATTCTGAAATTTATATTCTCATTCATTTTTGTTATTTTGAAACTAAATGAGTGCAAAACTGTTATAGCCTGAGGAAAAACTGAGTGAATCCTATTGACTAATAATGGCAATTTTCCCAACTTAAGACAGCATCGCAGAAAGGATTGTTTCCAGTGAATTAACCTAACTGTTGTGAAATGTGCAATGTTTGATCTCTCAAAGACTGTTAGAAATCTTACTTTGAACCCAGGATAATTTGGTTTGTGAAACTTAAAAGGCAAACAGAAAGAGGTTGCAAAGAAAAAAAAATTGGAAAGTTTTCTGTTTTGGATATTTATTAGTTTTCAAACATGGAATTCTGATTTATTGCTGTTAATTTAAACCATCAATGGTTGCAGCAGTTTGCACAAGAAGGCATGGTATTGAAGTGTGATTAGAATGTAGTACTGTAGCAACCAGTAGTACTGTTTATAATTCATTGATGTTTGGTATGCCTGTATTTAATTAGGACAATAGGTAAGGAAAACTCATTGATTCTTATAACACACTAAACTTGTCCAGGTTCTGATATCCTCTTTCAGAATTGTTTTTCTTAATTTATCATTTCCTTTTTGTTTTACTTTTTATTTCTGGGCATTCATCAGACCCCATTATACTCATCCGGCTCCTGCAGTGTAGCTCTCCACTAAATTACCATCAGTTTTGCATTATTTTTTCCTCTGTGTAACTTTCTTTTGTTGTTTCTGTACTGCTGTTATTATTTTGTTTCCCTTGTGCCTGTTATACTCATCAGAAAACCAGTAGGATACAGAATGAGACAAAGTCTGGGGCTTTGAGCAGAATATATCACAAACATTGCGTGCTATTCTAGTCCCTAAGGCATCGGATTTTGATAAAAGTGAATGGTTGATTGGATGTTAGTGTTTATTTTTGGGTAAGGGTGTTAAGGGTTATGGACCTATAACGGATCTATTGTGTTCAGATACAGACTAACCAGATTCTGATTCTGTCAACTTGAGCCAGTGAGTGTTGTTCATTTAACTGATACAACCTGTATTTGTCCATTGTTAGTGTTTATTTTATGTGTTAAGCCTTGAAAATCTGATATGACAGATGTGAACGATATGTCTGATTCTTTCAGACCTCTCCAAAAACAAGGAACCTCTGGGATAAAATGGGTAAATGTATTTGTGCATGTAGCATGGATTAATAAGGGACATAAGCTTATTAAAGTACTCAATTGGTCCTTTAACATCCCACTTTTATCCAGCTATTTTACCATAAGAGAAGTGATAAGTTTCTAATATTGTTGCACAAGCTGCATTCTGAGACAAATAGAATAAACTTACCTATTCAGGAAAATGCAAATTAATAATAGTTGAAGAAGATGGCACATGTTAATGTTTTCCCAATCTTTAGCCCCTTTTTGTTTTCTTTGGTAGCTTCTCTTATTCATCTGACATAGTTATGTGGAATAAAAGTGACCTTGTAAATTCTTGGATCTCTGTTTGACAATGTTAAGTTTTATTTGGAGCATCAAATTAAACATTTGTTTAAACTTTTAACGACCAGATTCAGCAAAGCTTTGAATCAACTGTGATCAGTATGTTTCTTATTTACTACTGAACAATGCTGAGACATTTGTAATCTTAACGGATAATGTTTTTTTAATCTAAGAAACTAGAGATTGGTTGAGTGTTCCTCATTTTTCCAGATACCTTTACTTCCTGAGACAAAATAATAGAAAAATATGTCAGCTTTGAATGCTGAACCGATTTCATAAAGTGATACTTTTTCAATATTAAGTGATATTGCTTCAGCAAAGTTGAGATCAAAATATCATTGCTGCGGTAAGTTGAGGAAGGCTGGAAGGAGAGTTGTAAATATTGGCATAGACCAGTTTGATCTTGAGAAGATGCCGCACAGGAGGCTGCTAAATAAGATGAAAGCCTATGGTAAAAACAGAAAGAAGTGCGGATGCTGTAAATCAGGAACAAAAACAAAGTTGCTGGAAATGCTCAACAGGTCTGGCAGCATCTGTGAAGAAAAAAACAGAGTTAACGTTTCGGGTCTGGTGACTCTTCCTGAGAACCAGATGGTGTTCCTCGGAGCCCACGGTGTTAGGGGCAAGGTACTGGCATGGATAGAGGACTGACTGACTGGCAGAAGAGAGACAGAGAGTAGGGATAAAGTGGTCTTTTTCAGGATGGTAGTTAATAGTGGAATTCACAGGAGTAAGAGTTGGGACCACAATTATTCACGTTATATTTTAATGATCTGGATGAAGGAACTGAGGGCATTGTTGCTAAGTTTGCAGATGACACAAAGATAGGTGGAGGGAAAGGTAGTGTTAAAGAAGTGGGGAGGCTGCAGAAGGCTAAGAGAATGGGCAGAGAAGTAATAGATGGAGTACAATATGGGAATTGTGAGGTTATGTACTTTGTTAGGAAGAATAGGGGCATAGATTATTTTCTAAATAAGGAAAGGCTTTGGAAATCTGAAGCACAAAAGGTCTTGGGAGTCCTAGTTCAGGATTCTGTTAAGGTTAACATGCAGAAAAGATATCACATGAGCAGTGGTTGAGGATTCTAGGTCTGTACTCGATGGAGTTTAGAAGAACGAGGAGGGATCTGATTGAAACCTACAGGATACTGAGAGGCCCAGATTCAGTGGACGTGGAGAAGATGTTTCCAGTATTAGGAGAGACTACAACCTGAGGGCACAGACTCTTAATGAAGGAATGACCCTGAGATGAGGAGGAATTTCTTCAGCAGTTAATCTGTGGAATACCTTGCCACAGAGGGTGGTGTTTTCTGTATGTTGCATCTCCCTCCACTGCTATGAACGAAGATGGGTGGCAATGATTATATTTCCAGAGTGTGACAACACCCCAAATGGAGCTTTTAAAAAAAATCCTAAAATAAATCAAAGAACTGCAAATGCTGGAAATCCAGAAGAAAAACAGACTTCTGAAACAAACGTCTGAAGAAGGGTCACTGGATTCGAGATGATAACTCTGTTTTGTCTCCACAGATGCTGCCGGACTTGCTGAGTTTCTTCAATTTCTGATTTTGCTCAAGGATACCCTAAATTAGTTTGTATTTTCATTCCAATTTAATTCTGTATAGTTGTATCGTGTAATAGTTGAATATTTCTTGAGGCTTTTCCTTGAAAACCAGCTGTTAGTTAATGGGATCAATATTGCAAGCAAAAACTCATTAGACTTATAGCGGAAGTGAGAGGTGCTGGTTAGGAGGAAAGTGGGTCTTTTTTTTTCCCCTCCTGAATTAGGAAGAATTTAGTCGAAAATTTCAGCATGTTGAGAGGAAAACATCGTACAATATACCTGAGTTTTTGATTGTTTGGTGAATCATTAGCATACACCAAGACCAATTATCTGGATAATAAGAATTAAAATATTGTTACATCAAGGATTCTAATAAAATGGAATCCTTTGCCATAGGGAGTTGGCATGTTGTAATATCATTTACAGAGGGATCAGATCAGAATCTGAAAAAGGTGAATGTCAAAGGATAATTGACAGACCAAGAGGCAGCTGCAACATTTACTTGCCCCAAATTGCCACATCCTATAATTTCCATGGTCAATTTTGTTTTTTGTTTTTCTCAACAGCAATTAATCCCTGTAATTATTAAGAACAGAAGTTAAACTAGCAGGAAAAGATTTAAAAGGGACCTGAGGGGCAACGTTTTCTCACAGATGGTGGTGCGTATATGGAACAAGCTGTCAGAGTAAGTGGTAGAAGTGGGTACAGTTACATAACTTAAAAGGCATTTGGATAGGTTCATGGATAGGAAAGGTTCAGAAGGACATGAGCCAAATAATTCAGTTTAGGAAACCTGGTCAGCATGGATCAGTTATGCCGAACAGCCTGTTCCCGTGCTGTATGACCGTTATGTCTCTAGACAGAGCATTGGTCTTACTATTGCTGTCCTGGGTCTGGAGTTTTGTGTACCATGTGTACTTTTTTTCTTTTTCCAGGTGCAGGCAGCAGACCGATCTTCAGTCACCCTTCACAGTGTCGCTGAACAACTGGTTGGTTTTCGACAGGAAGTAAGAAAGTATGCCCTGGCATTGGATGATCGGGAGCTGGCATTGAGTGAAGGCAGGGAGCTGTCCCAGGAAGAGAAACAGAAACTGAAGGAGAGGCGTAAGCAGATGCTGAGTGAACGGCAACCTCTCCTCCAGGCCTGCGACTTGCTGCGGCAGGATCTTGGTGTAATAGGAATAAATATCAAGGTTAGTGAGAGACTTTTAGATTAGGACCTATAAAATACTTGCTGGTTTGCTGGACCTGTTGCATACTGTCCGGCTGCAACTTCTGCACAGCACTGTCCTTATTGCTTATTTCATATAAATTACATCTCTTAAGCAGAGGATGAAGCCAGAAACGAAATAATTCATCCTAAAACTTAAGTTAAGGACAAAAGGGGTGAAAAGTTTAAATCCCGAGGAGGGGTTTCAAAGGCTAGATTTATATTCCATTGAGTATGGACAGTAAGGTGTGATCTAATTCAGGTTTTAAGATGAAGAATTTGTTGGGATAGATAGAGAGAAACTATCTCTTCTGATGGGTCAAGTCCAGAACAACGGGCTGGAACTTTAAACTTAGAGACGGAGGTTGAGGGTGATGTCAGAAAGCACTTCACACACACACACGAAATCCAGAACTCTTCCCTCGCAAAGAAGTTGTATAGGCTGAGGCGCATCTAAAAATTTTAAAACTGACACTTTTAGGTTTTTGTTAACCAAAGTTATTAAGGGATATATTACCAAGGTGGATATGTGGTGTTAGGTCACAGTTCAGCCCAATACATGAAAGAGCAAGCTTCAGAAATTGAAAGGCCTCCACTTCTTCCTGTTCCCAAGTTCCATAAGACATGGTGTTAAAAATCTTCTTACAGTGACCAAAACAATGCAGAGGAGGAAGATGCTGGGCGGTAAGTATATAGTAGAATGAGAGACAGCAATAGACCAAATGATTTTAAGGGGTTTTAGTTGGGACAAACTATACAGCATGCAGAATGTCACTGCAATGCAGGAAGCCTTCATGGTGGTTAGTGATTTACAGTGTCCTGTGTACACAGATCATAATATTTCCAGCAAGGAACTAACACTGTACACTGTTTTTGTGTTATGCCAAACTTTACAGTTTTCCTGTTCCAGAAAGATTGAACAATTGTTACTTTGTTAAACTTCTTATGCTGAATAGACTGTGTCTGCCCTCTGCTGCCCAAAGTAAAGATTGCACCATTAGAATGCTGCATTTCCACCTGCAACACTATTGTTCACCAGCAGAATGTCCTACTGAAACATCATTATGTCTTCCTGTAGACACCTTAATCATGACTAGGCCAGATGTGTATTAGATACTTGATTTTAATATGATCCCTATCGGAAAAGCTTTATTATTCAGTGGAAATAGTTTTGAAAAGCAGATGTCTTTCCAGCTCGTTAATTGATTCCCTTAAGTAATATTCAGGTCATCATAGAATAGGAAGAGAAGGGTGAGAAACTTCTGTGTTCAGCTAAGTTTGAGGAAAATACTGTGTAATATTCTTTACAGTTGAAAGAATTGAAGGCTTTTGTGAGGTTAGGAAAGACCATGAACTGTGGGTGTTGATTCTATTCCTTGTACTTCTCTGGATTTGCCATGGAGTGAAATCATGTCTGTGGTGCCCCCTGGATGAATGTGAAAGCCACATTGCAACTCTCAACATCTCTTAAGCAACTGGGATGAGGTGATTGAGAAGGATCCATGCCACGATTTTCCATGTGGCAGACAACAGGCTGACTCTTCTGTATTCACTGCAAGTAGACTTGCCTCCCTTCTGAAATATTGTCACAAACACAGCATTCCTGAGATGCCCCAATATTCATTCCTCTTCCCAGCTGGAGGATAGGATATTGTGTAGCCACATAAGGAATATATCACTGCCATATTTCACAATTTCTGCAGGGATTCTATCTGCTCCAGAAGCTTTGCTGTTTGTCAACTATTGAATGGTTTTGACAAGTTTGCTTCAAACCTGTGTAGCACTAAGACTGAGTCAAATGGAGGGATGAAGTTGAGTGTCTTCAAATCAAAGACTGGCTCTTCAGTTGAGAATTTCTTAATGCTCTTTTCAGCAAACACTGTCCGACTCCCTGACCTTGATGAGCTTCCCTCCATGTTTGGCTCTCAGCAGAGTGGGCCCTTAAGTGCTTGGGCTTTGAGTTTACTTGGCAGCTTAGAAATAACTGCATGTCTTTGGCAACCATGAGTTGTTGGATCTCCCGTGTTCTTTCTATCTAGCATTTATTCTTAATGTTGCAGGTTTTATGCTGTACAGCTGTCTTAAGAAGAGACATTTGGACAGGTAGATGGATAGGAAAGGTTTAGAGGGATGTGGGCCAAATGCAAGTAAATGGGACTAGTTCAGTTTAGGAAGCCTGGTCAGCATGGACAAGTTGGGCTGAAGGGTCTGTTTCTATGCCGTATGACTCAATGACTATTAGAAAACTGTAGGATTGCTGCTGTAGTTTTAGGGAGCGGTGAAATTTCCAATGTGTGAAAGCTTTGCGCTAAAGTTAATTAGCCCCTGCATTCCTTGGTCTTTTTTGTCAAACTAATCAGTATAGCTTCTGGTGGCTTGAGGTTGAAGCAACTGTTCTACGCAGCACTGAGGCACAACAGGGAACACCCAGGGTGACAGCAGAAATGATATCCTCCAAGCATCCCCAAAGAGATCAAACATCTGTCGACCTATGATACTCCCTGGCTAGTAACCAATCAACATGGGAAGGCACTGAGCATGTTGAGAAACTTTGTCAGGAACATGCAGAGACAAAGTCAAGGCACCAAAGAGGGCATATTAATGTCTCAACAGCTCATCTGCCTACCCCTTGGAGCAGTACCTGCCTTGCATATATTGGAGTCTACAGATTGTACTTTATACCTAAGCAAGTCATCCATGAACCCAAGGAACTGCCTAAAAGGGAGAATCAATGAGACAGAATGCAGAATACTCCATTAAATATACTTTTTAATCCTTTCAAAAATGTACCAATGACTCCTTTTAAAAATAACAAACCTATTTGAAGTCATTTTAAACATTAATAAGGTTTAATGTCTGTAGTATCTTTCTCACTATGTAAGAAAATATTTTACAGGCAATGAAGCACTTTTGAAGTATAGTATCTATTATAATGTATTAAAAGCAGCAACCAGATTTGTGCACAACAAGATCTCACACATGGCAGTGTGATAATCAGAATTTCCACTTTTCTGACTGTGGATAAGGGGTTAATATTGGTAGCAGCCAGAAGAGAAATTAAAGGTCAGTGCCACTGCTCGCCTGGGCCCCAGCCGCTGGACCCGAGCACCAGGACTCCAGTTTTTGGGCCCTGACGTACTCCCTGTTCCAGGACCTGAATATTGACAAAAGCTACCAGAGAGAACTCTCCTGCTGTTTTTCAAGTAGTGCCATTTGGTCTTTTACACTCATTTGAGAGAGCAGTTAGTGCCTTGGTTTAATGCCTCTCTCAAAAGGCAGCACCACTGGACAGGAGTGTTAGGCTGGATTTTTGTGCTGAAGTCTAGGAGACTTGGAAAGTATAACCTTCTGATTTAAATCAGTGTTACCCAGAGTCACAGCTGACATACAGAATCAAATCAATTATCAAATCAAATTCTTTTTGTTTTTTACAGGAATACTTTTCAGTTTTTTTTTTGAAGAATATAGTGCTGTTAAACATTGTTTTAAATCTTAAATGTTCAGTGTATATGTGGCTGATGTTAGAGTGTGAAGGTAGGATTGTATAATTTGATAGGGGTGCGATTTCTAGGGATGGAGAGGGCTGACCTGGTGCCGAAGGTCTTGTGAAGGAAGCACTGCCATTTGGAATTGATACATAGTTATTTTATAATTATCAGTGATGGAAATAATAGGATATATTCAAGCAATATTGATCATCAGGACATTTATTTGTTACAAGAACAGAAGTGAAATATGAATAAATGCCATAATATTAGCATTTTGTTTACTTGTCTATACCCGCTATGTTCATTCTCAGGCAATGATGCAT